TTTTATTTCGTCATCGTAAACATGTGCGTTCATTTTAACGACTGGCGTTGGTGGTAGTTCGTTGAAACTGAATTAATAGTGACTATTATAGCAGAAATGGAAAAGATTGAATTGTCAATAAATAAATACTACAAATCTGATTTTATTATTAAGAATATATCACTTTGAAAAATGTACGCAATCGGACTTTTTAACGTTATTACTTGGTCTATGATGCAAAGGGCAAAGGTCATTGGTAATATCGACTATCCGTAAAACGGACGTTTGCTTGGTTTTTACCCATAATATTACAAATAATTTCTGAAAACCAGACCAATGAGACTACTTCGATGCTGTTGTTAGCATTGTTGGAGTACGTTGTTGTCAGCCAGAAGATGATATGGTGGTACAATACAACAACGCTGGCTTAGATGCCTACGTTACGTAATCGTGTCCTTGTAATCCGAGCCGACTTTACCGTTAAAGCAAGTTAATTTACCGTTATTCTAGTAAAGTTAAGTCACTTAACTTCAGTCACTTAAGCCTTTTATCTAGCTATAATTGAGTGGTTCACGTCGACCTTTTAACTAGTTAAGTGGATGTATATATAGAAGATAAAAGTTCACATCGAACTTTTTCTAGATATACCTGTCTTGAAACATGATACGATAATACCCTAATTGCGTTCGATGCCAAGTTAGAGCCAGATAAACAGCCAGCCAGTTTCAGGCCGTCGACGTCACACGGTGGAAAGGCTTGTTTAATAAAACATCTACCGTATTTTACGAACCTCTAGTACCAAGTGGTATTCGTTCAAATAAAATTGTAAACTACTGTAGAGAAAGAGTGAGTTTCCACTACCTAACCTAGCCGACCAGTACGAAATAACAACAATGCAGCAGCGTGTTCTATCGCAATCTAACTGTAATAGATTCTCTAGGCCCTAGTAGCTAAATTTACCTTCGATAAAAAACGAATTATTTTAATCGCTAGCTAGCATTCTTCCATTTAACAAAATATTGTTTTAATTTTCATTAAAACGTCTGTATACTTTATGGACCTTTCTGTCCTGTTTTGTAATGTTTAGATCGCTCAATTGGTCATTGGTAATATCGACTATTCGTAAAACGGACGTTTGCTTGGTTTTTACCCATAATATTACAAATAATTTCTGAAAACCAGACTAATGAGACTACTTCGATGCTTAGCATTGTTGGAGTACGTTGTTGCCAGCCAGAAGATGATATGGTGGTACTATACAACAGCGCTGGCTTAGATGCTTACGTTACGTTATCGTGTCCTTGTAATTCGAGCCGAATTTACCGTTAAGCAAGTTAATTTACCGTTGTTCTAGTAAAGTTAAGTCACTTAACTTAATTAAGTCACTTAAGCCTTTTATCTAGCTATAATTGAGTGGTTCACGTCGAAATTTTAACTAATTGAGTGGATGTATATCTAGATAAGAGTTCGATGTGAACCAGGCTTATGGCTCCACACAGTAGGCCCTATTGATATGTTAATTAATTACTTACTTCCTGTCACTGCTTGCTGTTTTTGGTTTTAGTTTTTTTTTTTCAATTTACAGGGTACTTGATCTTGAGAATGGTTCCATGATGGACCCGAAACGTCGATCTTTCTTGTCATTAAATTTTGATTTGAAAAAAGATAATGTTAATGTTAAAGTTAATGATAATGATAATTATGATAATCTAAAGTTTAATAACATATCATTTAATGATGTTGAAAATGCTTTGTCCGAACTTAAAACTAATAAATCTATTGGTTTTGATGGTTTTAGTCCAAGGATTCCTTAAGTCAGATGTACCATGAAATTGCAAATCAAATTCTGTTTATTTTTAATTTGTCTCAGGGTGAGATCCCATCTCAGTGGAAGTTGGGAAAAATTATTCCTATACATAAGGGCGGTCCTAAAGACAAATGTGAGAACTATAGACCAATCTCCATCCTGTCTATACTAATGAAGATTCTTGAACGCCAGGCGTTTGACACGCTTCATCATCCTACTTTACTCTTTAAAAACTTTCAAAACTTGGACTTGGTAAAATCATAGAGAAAATAGATTGAGCTGAAGTGGTTTGACTCTTATCTTTCGGGTAGAAGGCAAATCACTTGCGTCAATAATGTTAACTCTTCCCCAGCTTCCATTCGATATGGGGTCCCCCAAGGGTCTAATTTAGGACCCTTATTATTTATTATCTTTATTAATGATCTCTCCAATCATATTCATTCTTGAAAAATCTCCATGTACGCTGATGATAGAGTAATATTTTTTCATCTAAATCTTTAATTGATATTCAAAACAACCTTCAACTTGACATTGATTATGTGAGTGATTGGTTAAAAGCCAACAAACTAACCTTAAATTTGAATAAAACTATGTCGGTCCTGTTCGGATCCAGTAGATAATTACGTGGTTGCAGCCTGTAGCGGTGCCAGCGGGGGAAAGGGGGAAGGGGGCTTAATCCTCCATCGGTTTGGTCAAGCCCCCCCCCCCCCCCCC